CACACACACACACACACACACTGTAGGTGGTGGTCATGTCTGTGAGCTTGTGTCATCTCACTGTCAGTTACCGGTAGTCTTGGAGTGTGTTCTACTGAACGCTGAGTGTGTGTTGACTGACAGGAACCACACTGTGACATGTTATTTGTGTGATGATGACATCACATCCTCGTTTCTTGCGAGCCCAGTTTCCTGTTCCACTGACGTCACAGGAAGGGGTCCCTGCAGCGTCTGAGGAAGTGTGTGTGTGTGTGTATCTGTATGAGTGTGTGTTTTTTTACGTGCGTGTACTCACCCTCCAGAAGTACTTGCGATTCGCGTCTCGGGGGACGCTGTCGGCTGTATAGATTTCTCCGACCAGGGGGCCGAAGCGAGTTCCTTTAGGGATGTACTCCCTGCTGCACACGCCGACCACCTACACAAAGACGCACACACACACACACAGGAAGGTCACACAAAAAGCCTTTGAAGTGGATTGTTTGTGATGTTGTGTCTCACAGGAAAACGCGCTCATGTGTGGAAAAACACGGACAGTCCACAGCGAGACGTGACGTGACGCATCATCCAACAATGACACAATAACATGATTTCAACGTGTTCACGTGTGAAGTGGCAGAAATTGAATCTGTAAAGATCTTCAGTGATAACACACACGACAAAAGAGATCACACAGCTTATGTGTGTGTGTGTGTGTGTGTGTGCCGCTGGTGCAGATCCATCACGTGTCATTAAATCTAATTAAGTCTTATTGTACGAACAAAATATGAACAAATTCAGACTCAAAGACTCATTTATCAAACACTGACGATGATTTATGATGCAACTTCATGCTTCGGTTCATTAAAGGAGTGTGAGTGTGTGAGTGTGTGTCTCTCTCTCTCGTCACACCTCCACTCGTCGCCACATCAAACCACAACCGCCGCCACTTCACACACTTCACTGAGGAAACATCCTGATGCTCAGGAGAAAAAAAGAACCTTTTGTTTCGTCCTTTTGTTTCTCGTCTGATTCCATCAAAGAAGATGAAGAGCAGGAGGAGAAAAGTGAAGGATTATGTGGCGGCTGGATGTCAGACTCCAGCCGTGGACGGCAGAGAAACAAAGTGCACACACCCACACAAACAAATGTCTTTCCCAAACCCCCCCCGTTCCCTGGTGACATGGGAAATCCCCCTTTCCCTAATTCCTGCCATAGATGCAGACATGAGTGTGTGTGTGTGTGTGTGAGAGTCGTTTTTTGACATATTAACAGGCTCTTGTATCATTTCTTCCTTTTCAACCAAAACTCAATCTTCTTTGATCAGTGCGACACGTCTCTGTTCCTCAGCCTTTCCCTTCTTCCTCTCTCTCTCTCCGCTCAGATAAACGTTAGCTGATAGCGCATCAGCTTGTAAACAAAACCCACTCGACTTCTCTCTCTCTCTCTCTCTCTCTCTCTCTCTCCCTCGCTTCCTCTCTCAAGCTTCTTGTTCCCTCAGTTTCCCGCAGATAAGCCCCTGATTAGAAAATCTATGCGATCACGCTGCTTTTGGAAAGAAACTGTCAAAAACTGGCGAAGTTGCGACAAGCTGACCTTCGGAGGTCACGAACTTTCCAGTCCAAACTGCCCCGACGCTCAGATCCAGCACAGCAGCCGACGATTTACTGACTCTGCTGTCCGGCCGTGAAGAAATCTGTCAACTGGAAACTGGAGGATCGCTTTAAAGTTTTCTTTGCTCTTATTACTGACTTTTTATCGCATTAATAAAACTGATAAATCTCGTGATCATGTTAAGCTGATGTGGGAAGATGCAAATGTGAACTGGAAATCAACTCTTTGAGCTTTTCAAACACACATTTCTCAACAAACACCTTGTGTTCAGTCGTGCTCCTGATCTATAATCCGACCTGAGGTTCAACCTTTGACATTTTGACTTTTTCAACCCCGGTTTGATCGTTGACAAAAGTTAAAATGAATCTGGGTTTGTCAGAGAGGTCCCAACGTGGCTCATTGAGAAAGTTTTCAAACAAACCAAATTATACAACTACAGGTCTGATGCAGTTTTTCATCATTCATCTCAAATCAATTTCATATTTCACATGTGAAGCATCTAAAGTTTGAAAAGTCACACAGTGGACAAAGTAAAAAAGTGTAACTCGTCGTTCAGCAGCTCAAACAACATGATGAGCTGAAGCTGTCTGATGAGACGATTAACTGCGCCCCCTGTCAGCTGGGGCTGGTATTGCGGGGAGGTCTGTGGAATATGACACACACGGCTATCGTCATGGTTTCAGATGATGAATGAAATTTAATGAATGGATACGAGTTGATGAAGACAGTTTAAACACACAGGAGGCTTCAGTTACAGTGTGTTCCAGTGTGTGTGTGAATTCTGCTTCAGGCGTTTCAAACACACACACACACACTGATACACACAGCGTCTGTTCTTTAATGTGTGTGTGTGTGTGTGCGAAGCTTTACGACGAGACACGACCCCCTGTTCATTACATGACCTGCCTCTGACTCACGTGTGTGTGTGTATGTACAGATGGTTTTCTTTTGTGTGTGTGTGAATGAAGAGAAAGTTTGTATGTGCGACACTGTGTGTGTGTGTGTGTGTGTGTGTGTGTGTGTGTGTGTGTGTGTGTGTGTGTGTGTGTGCTGACTCTGACCTCCTTGCTGTCAGCTGGGTGCTTGAAGGCCAGGTTCCGGGGCAGAGAAGCCTCAGCTCTGGTCGTCGTCATCATCATGGCCTCGTCACTGTCTGGCCCCGCCTCCCACGCCGTGTCTTTGACGATGTATGTGCACTTCTCCTCAAACTCTGCCTCCGTCCACCGAGTCATGTCTGCCTCCTTCATCTCCATGTCAACGTCTGTGTCTGTCATCGTCTCTGCTCCGTCTGAGCCCGAGCCGGCGGTGGGGGCTGTAGTGGCGGCAGAGGCCATCTTGGGTCTGTGGTGCGAGTCATCCTGCTCCATGGCGTGCGCCCCCTCACTGGTCAACATGGCCGAGCTATGAGAGGTCGCCTGGTTGAGAGACATAGAAACACACAGGATGGATAGAGAGAGAGAGAGAGAGATTAATTTTTTTTATTTTTAAACACTTTAAACAAGAAGGAAACAAAGAAAGAACAAGAGAAAAATATAGCTAAAAAAGAAAGCAAATAAGAAAGATATGAAGGAAGACAAGAAAGATAGGAAGGATGAAGATATGATGAGGCTAAAAAGGACAAAAACAAAGTGAGATGAAAACAGAGACCGAGAGGCGGTGGAAAAAAGATAACAAAAGTTTTTTTTAAAAGAGGAGATGTGGAAGGAAGTAAGATAAGAAATAAAAAAAAGAGGAAAGAAAGAAAAGGATTAAGACAAAGTGAGATAAAGAGGCGGATGAAGGGATAAATGGTGAGAAAGAGAGGAGAGGAGGAACTGTGATTATTGGTGACTCAGTAGAGGGGGGGTCTGACTAACACTGCTGTCACACACACACACACACACACACACACAGAGGAAACCGCCTGCCTTTACAATTTCATTAAACAATTTTAATATTAAAGAAGTGTTTTGTTCTCTTGACGTCTTTTTAACTCGTCTGACTGTCATCCGAACGTTTCGTTGTTTTTCTTTCCCTCCTCACACGTCGTGAGAAACGAATCCGACCTCTTCTCGTTTATCGTTGTTCTTAAAACCACAAGGAGAAATCTAAAGTGTCTCAGGCTCAGAGAGGAACCGATAGAGGAACTCAACACGTGTCTCACATGAAAAGAGATGAGATGAAAGATTTCTCTCTTCATTATTCTGATGATCGTAAGTTGATCATTTTGTTTTCTTTCTCCCTGAAGCAAAGAAACTTTCCCTTTCGTGTATTCGTTTTTTTTTGTGTGTACGTAAATACACTACAAGTGCAATTTAGAGAGATTGTTTCCGACAGCGTGGTGGATTCATTGGGATTATGAAGCAGTCGCCTCGGTATCCTCCCTCTGTATCCTCCCTCCTCCCCCGTCTCTCCCTGGGGTTGAAGACAGAGGAAGGAAATGCTGTCTGTGTCTGAATGAAGCTAAAATTGGAAGCAGAGTGGCACTGCAGCGGAACCGGCAAATCATCCCGACTCCCAGCGTGTGTGTGTGTTGGTAATGGATGGTGGTGGTTGGGGGGGGGGTGATGAGGAAGGGAGCGCCAAAACTTTTCCATTTGGGGGCCACAGCAACGCAAACAAAACTTCAAACGTGATCCCACCCAAGACA